GTAATGTTATCCGTAGCTTGTAATGACCCAGACAGTCTAAAAGCCTTTGTGTAGTCAGTAAGGCACAAGTAAACATCTTTCTGGTATTCTCAGCGTTCAGCCAAGATCGGTCTGATGTCAGCAATGATAACCCTAGTTACATGTCCTCTTCTGAATCTGGCTTGATTCTCTGTTGATGTATTGTTACAGCAGTTTTTGAATTCTCTTTAGCAAAACTTTGCTTGCATGTGATATTATAATAATATTGTTCAATGATTTCCACATTCTGTTGGATCACCTCTCTTTGGAATGGGCACAAATATGGATCTCTTCCACTTGGTTGACCAAGTCTTCCAAATTTCGTGGCATGGGTGTGTGAGTGCTTCCAGTGCTACATCACTCTATTGAAAGATTTCAGTTTGTATTCCATCAATTCAGGAACCTTTTTTTTTTTGCTAATGCCTTCAGTTCAACTTGGACTTCCTTCAATACCACTGGTTCTTGATCATGTATACTACCTTGTGAATGATTGAACATTGACTGTTTCTTTTTGGTTCAGTGTATTCTTTACATCTTTTTTTGATGTGTCTATATCATTCAATAGTTAATAATGGGAGGGATTAGCCACATAACTACTGTATGCTATGTTGTTGTTGTTATGTGCCATGGAGTCGATTCCGACTCATAGTGACTCTGTACAGGGTTTCTGAGGCTGTAAATCTTTATGGGAGCAGAAAGCCTCATCTTTCTCCCATGGAACAGTTGGTGGTTTTGAATGGCTGACCCTGAGGTTAGCAGCCCAATTCGTAACCACTACACTATGAGAGCTCCTTGTATGTTATGTAGGGTTTACTATAAAATTTGTATCTACTCTCAAGGACTGCCAAAAGAACCAATAGATCTGTTTTGGAAGAAGTGCAGCCAGAATGCTCCTTGGAGGCCAGGATGGCTAAGCTTCGTCTCTCCTACTTTGGACATGTAGTCCGGAGGAAACAATCGTTGGAGAAGGGTGTCATGCTGGGTAGGGTGGAGGGTCAGAGAAAAAGAGGAAGACCCCCAACGAGATGGATCGGCCAGGTGGCATCATTGATGGACTCAGGGGTGGCAGCAGTGGTGAGGTTGGCCCAGGATCGAGCATTGTTTCATTCTGCTGTGCATGGGGTCGCTATGAGTCGGTTCCGACTCGATGGCACCTGACAACAACAACAACAACTCTCAAGGAGGAAAATATGGGAAATTTAATTAGATGAATGTGTTAAGAGATCCTGAAAATTGCTTTCAGAGACCTTGGATAAATTAGTTAGGAACGATGCTCTCATATTTCCTGCCTCGGGACTTATTATGCAAACTTGTACTTCTTCCTTTACAAATAAAACTTACAAATACATCTTCTTTTACAAATACAAGCTCAGCAACTAGGTAAAAAGAAAACAGTTGAAGATAATTAGTCCAACAAATTACTATTGTTTATGTTCTTTACCTTTTCTCTCCCTTTAACTATTACATGAAACATAACAGTATATTTTGAAAAGATAAGAAGCAGAGATGAATGTCATTGTGAGCACCTTTAGATTTGGAGCCAAGTGTCTTTTTTAATCCAGTGCCAAGTACAGTGTCTGGCAACTAGACTTTAAGTAAATATTTTGTGAATTAAAAAAACCAAAGTTTTTGAGGCTGCTTGCATATATTGTTGCAAGGTAGGCAGTTCAAGCTCACCAGCTCCTCCTTGGAAACCCTATACAGGGTTGCTATGGGTCAGAACCGACTCGATGGCACTTCACAACAACAACAACAACATGTGTATTGTGGAGTCCTGATGTGACACTGTGGGTTGATGCGCTACACTGCAGAGTCAATTTAAACTGCAAAATCGGCGGTTTGAGCTCACCAGGTGCTCCTCAGAAACCCTACCACACTTGACGCTTAACACTTAACAACAACAACAAAATGTGTATTGTAAGGATTTGAGGGCAGTGATTAAGGAGATTTTCGTGTAGTCAGGCCTTAATATAAGTTCTTTTTAAAAGACTAAGGATCTTTCAGCAAAGCTCTTACATTTTCAATGCAAGATAATATTAACAAATTTCAACTGTAGCCGTTTCTCATCCTTCTGTTAGTGAAATTCCTCTTCTACCCTTTTAATACTCCAAGCAGAGAGGCAACTGTTTCTGTTCACTTACAGAGCTAATACAAAATAATAAGTGTAGAGTAATCACTGGACTGCTAACTGCAAAGTCGGCAGTTCAAACCTACCAGCCATTTCTTAGAAACCCACTATAGGGTCGCTGTGAGTTGGAACAGACTCAACTTCACACAGCAACAAGCCCTACCATATGGTGGTGGTGGTGGTTGTTGTTATGTGCCATGGAGTCTGTTCCGACTCACAGTGACCCTGTATAGGGTTTCCGAGGCTGTAAATCTTTACGGGAGCAGAAAGCCTCCTCTTTCTCCCGCAGAACAGCTGGCAGTTTAGAACTGCTGACCTTGCGGTTCGCAGCCCGATTTGTAACCACTATGCTACCAGAGCTCCTTATTGTATCATGGTATCCTAATTATAATTTTCCAGATTCATTTAATAATGCCTCACCTGTGAACTAATAACTAAATTCGCTGGGTAGTGCAGGATTGCCCACGAGTCTTTAGCACAAATAAGGAAATGGATGAATTGTACCATTTTCCTGTAGCGTAGTGGTTACAAATCGGGCTGCGAACCTTAAGGTCAGCAGTTTGAAACTACCAGCTGCTCTGCCAGAGAAAGATGAGGCTTTCTGCTCCCCTAAAGATTTACAGCCTTGGAAACCTGTACAGGGTCGCTATGGGTTGGAACCGACTCTACAGCACATCACCACCACCTCTGCTTTGTGTTTATGGCACCATGTGCATGTCCTGCAGTGTGTCATTTCATCCACATGGTGGTGCCAGAAAACCAGTAGTTGATCATTGTTAGTATGAAGAATGGAATGTATATGTTTCAAACTGTTCGTTATAAAATAAACACGTTCTCTAGTTATATAATAACAATTTCCTCAAAGTCTGTGAAATTATAATGGTTTTACCTTTCATGTCTCCAGACTTCATCATCCTTCACCTAATACTGAAGTTTCCTAATAGATTTTCCCTGCTCTGCTTTAGGCTGTTTCCACACTGTAGTCTTAAGAATTCCTTTATAAACTTAAATCTGAGCTTTGCTCTTCTGCCTAAGACTCTTGAAAGGGTTCTTATTGCCTTGAGTTTATCTGTAAAGATAATTAAAAGTAAAACTTTTCATGAACCAACTCCTGCCCTTATTATAGCAGTTTTAGATTCGTGGTTGAAGAAACTGAGGCTACTTGGAGAGGTGAAGCAGAGTTTCAGATTTTATTAAGCCAGCTGACTCAGAGGAACTAATTTCTCCAGATTCTGAGCACCTAATGGAGGGCAACACGGGCCTATATGGGCTCAGAGTTGGGGAGGGGCCAGGCTGCATAGCTGTTTGAGAACAGGGGGAAACCAGGGGGATTGGTCTCATTTGATGACCTGATTAGCATTTTAGCTTGCCTCCTGGGCTGGAGAGGGCAGTGAATGGTTTTTACCTTTTCATGTTCCCATTCTCTATCCTTATTGTTCTATAGCATTATCTTACACAGTTATTCTTATTCTGTGTATATTTCAGTCAGACTTTTCTTATTATAAGAGCCTGATGGTACAGTGGTTAAAGTACTCACCAGCAGCCTTTCTGTGGGAGAAAGATGTAGCAGTTTATTTCTGTAAAAATGTTACAGTCTTGAACACCCTAAGGGACCATTCTACCCTGCCCTAGAGGGTTGCTATGAATTAACTATACAGCAGTTGGTTGGGTTTGGTTTTGTCGTATTTTGGTTCTTTAAACACATTTTTCCTTCTATATGAGATAGGTTGGAGAATTTGTATATAGAAAGATGTTTCTTCTTAAGTTAGCTCCTCCTTATCCTGTGTGTTTTGGCTGACACTTTGGAAAGTTTTCTTTAATCCCTCTAAGTAGATCAGCTCTGTTAAATGTTTTCATGGTACCCATAGTTGTTTCTTTATAGCACTTTTTCTAGTTTTAAACTATATATTTACTTATGTAATTATTTGATTCCATCCCATATCCTCACTGGATCCTAAGCATCAAGAAAGTAGTTGCTATGCTGTTTGCTCACAGTTATATCATTGGTGCTTATTGAAGTATTTGTTGAATGAGTGAATGAATGGGAGTCATCCAGGACTTACGGAGACAGGCAATGGACATAGGAATAGGTAATCATTCTGGGAAAAGAGAATACTAGTGATCAGGATATAATAAGATGAGGAAGTTAATTTCCTGTTAGGGTAGAAATAAATTCTGTTTTGTGGTAGTCCTGAGCCGTAAGGTATCCATATAGAAAGGCTGGAAAAACGGGAGGCCTAGATCATATTGGGGAGTTTCAAAATTAGGAAAGCAGCTTGATATAGTAGAAAGTGCTGTTCCGTCACTTGGAGACTCTTTTCAGTTGTAGCTATCATATTTTGTTCTGTACCCTTGAGAAAAATGTGGCATAACATCGGCAAAGTCACAATTTAGTTTTACCTTTATTCCCATTACTGTGTAACAGGATAATGAACCGTATATTCTCTGTCCCTTAATATGTGGAAAAATGAAATAATAAAAGTAAAAGCCTTTTAAGAACTATAAAACACTTTATAAAATGGCCTTAATTTTTGCTCAGAAGACAGGAAATCCTTCCGTTTTAGATTTTCTATTGTGTTTATTTAGTTGCAAGGAAGAAGTCAGAGGAAAGAAGGATATAACATTGACAGCCCTGTCTAGATTGAAGTTCCTATAAGGGTCTTATTTTATTCATGTCAATTTTATTCACTGTTTTCCTTTACACACTGCATACTGGGGATCCAGAAATTATTATTGAATGAATAATAATAGTGAATAGTGTGTGTGTTGGCATTCTGTGATATCATTCCTGGTAGGCATTCTTTAGAAACAACTTGAAATAAAACTCTTGATGTTTATTTTTCTTATTTTTCAGCTGTGGCAGAAGTAAAACTTCGAGATGATCAATATACACTGGAACACATGAATGCTTTTGGAATGTATAATTACCTACACTGTGATTCATGGTATCAAGACAGTGTCTACTATATTGATAACCTGGGGAGAATTATGAATTTAACAGTGATGCTGGTAAGAAAAAAAAAAAAAAAAAAAAAAAAATATATATATATATATGTGTGAATTTTACAGTGAATTTTATCCTTAAAGTGTTTGACTCTTGTAAGAAGCATATATTACAATATTTGTCTTTTACCTAAACATGTCTTTTAATCATTTCCACCACACGTCTGTCAGTTTGTTGTACTGTGGTGCCTAGTGTGTTGCTGTTGTGATGCTGGAAGTGATGCTGCTTGTATTTTGAAATCCAGCAGTCATTCATGGGTGACAGGTTTCAGCAGAGCTTCCACAGTAAGAGTAGGAAGAAGTACCTGGCAATCTACTTCTAACAAAAACTGGCCAGTGAAAATCTTACGAATTCTGTAGGCAAAATATGGAATGACACCGGAAGCTTTAAAAGAAGATGGGAAGAATATATGCATCACTACACTAAACAGGACTGGTCAGCATTCAACCCATTACAGGAGGTTGTTATTGTTGTTGTTATGTGCCGTGAGTCGGTTCCAGCTCATAGTGACCCTGTACAGGGTTTCTGACGCTATAAATCTTTATGGGAGCAGAAAGCCTCATCTTTATCCCACGGAACAGCTGGTAGTTTTGAACTGCTGACCTTGAGGTTCACAGCCTGATTCATAACCACTACGTTACCAGAGCACCCATATGACAAAATTCTAGGAAGAATTCCAAGCTGTACTGAAGGCATTGCCGAAAGACAGAATTCATGAATTGACGAAATGCCAGTTATTTCAACAAACTTGCAACACTGGAAGTGCTCACTCATCTATGTCAAGAAATGTGGAAGACAGCTGCTTGTTCAACTGATTGGAAAAGATTTATATTTTTGCCCTTTCAAAGAAAGGTTATTCAATAGAATGCAGAAGTTATTGAACAATATCATTAATATCACATTCAGGTACAACTTTGCTGAAGGTAATTAAAAAATGTGGCTGTAGCAATACATGTACAGAGAGCTGCCAGAAATTCCAGCTGGATTTAGAAGAGGGCATGGAATGAGGAATATTATTGATGACGTCAGATGACTTAAAGCAGAGCACAGTGTAAAGATGTTCACATGTGTTTGATTAGCTATGCAAAAGCATTCAACTGTGTGGCTCATAACAAATTATGGATAACATTGCAAAGAGTGGGAATCTCAGAATACCTGATTGTGCTCGTGGGGAACCTGTACATAGACCAAAAGGCAGTTGTTTGAACAGAACAAGGGAACACTGAATGGTTTAAAATTAGCAAAAGTATGTACCAGGGTTGTATTCTTTTATGACACTTATCCAATCTGTATGCTAAGCAAATCTAAGAAGCTGTATTATATGAAGAAAAACCTGGCATCAGAATTGGAGGAAGATACATGAACAACCTGTGATAGGAAGATGACACAACCTTGTTTGCTGAAAGTGAAGAAGACCTGAAGCACTTATTGATAAAGATAAAAGACTGCAGATTTTGATGGAGAGTTGTCTGTGTGTGTGTGTATATGAAAGTTTTCCTTTAAACTTTATTAATGATGGTATTGATAACATGTGTTGTATTATAAAGTTGCTAGTAAAAAAACAGAAGACATCTTGGTAGATCTGAAATTTTCAGTTTTTATAGAATATATCCTTGTACATATTCATAATCTCATTTTAGTCTCCTGTGGATTATCTTGTGGCACATGTGATACTCTTGCAATACCCATTGTTACAGAGATAGTGTCATTAGTAGAAAGGGCCTTAGACGTTTTAATTAGATCAGCCAGGTAAGTTCATTTTAGTATGTTTATTATTTTAGGATACTGTGACATGCACTCTTGTTCATAGATCAGTACTACAGATCACTATTGCATGGTAATGTTTGAAAGCTATAAAAAAAAATATAGTGGATTCTCCATGTATTTTTGACTGTAGCTTCCTCATGTAAAATAAAGATATGGTGTTAATGTTGTTGAAAAGTTATAGTAAGGACTGTGAAAATGCTTTGAAATGTAGACGGCATTATGCCAGTATAAAGAGATTATTAGCATAGGCCTTGAGATACTTCACCTTATGACAGACAAATGCTGATTGACTTTTACCACATATACCTCTTTAAGAGTAGTTGAACTGTGCAGGAATGAATCATTATTACACCAACGAACCTTTCCTGATTGCATACTACATATCAACCACTGTGTAAGCACTTTATATTTATTAACTGTTTAACCTTTACAACAACCCTGTGGGGTATGTACTGTTGCTCTCCGCATCTTACAGCTGAGGAACAGAGAGACAGTGATTCACCTTGTTATTAGTTAATAGTGACAGACAACTTAGACTATAAGTGTAGCATTCTCCAAACAATCAAAAGTGCTGTAAAAATTCACTTTAAGTTTTTATTTTGAGTGTTACATTTTTTATTTTCTTCCTTTAAGATGAAAACCTAAACTGAGTTAGTTTTAATTTTAAATGTTTGCCGAGTGTAGGAGCTTTGGTATGAATTAAGTATAGCATACAAATTAAGATACTTGCCCAGTGGGGTGCTGATAAAGTAATGAAAACCAGCTGTGGCACTGTGGGTGACTGCTCTGGACCGCTAAGTCAGTTTGAATTGCAAGGTTGGTGGTTCAAGTTCACCAGCTACTCCTTGGAAACCCTGTATTAGGGTCACAATGAGTTGGAATTGACTCGATGGCACTTAACAACAACAGCAGGGTAGAAAATGCTTGATTTGTAGTTTGCCAGTTTCTGTGGTTTAAATGTTCCAATCATGATCAATTTTAAATGACTACTTGCAAAATTCCTGAAAATTTAAGTCTTGACTTTCACAAGTCTGTAGGAATTTGTTAAGACACATCACTTTGTTTGGTGGAGAACCTTAAGAGTGAAGGACTATCTTTTTTATCTCATTTAGTAAAGGAGTCTTTTTTTTTTTTTTTTTTTCCTTCACCTCACTTTTTCTTCTTCTTCTTTTTTTTTTTTAAAGAAAGGTAAAGTAAAGATGAATAGAGAAGTAGCAATTCTGTCTCTTAACATTCTTTTCTAAAGAAAATTGTATCCTTTAAGCTTAAGTGTTAGACTCAAGCTCATAAAGTCTGTTAGCTAAATTATCTTTCATGATGAACAGTGTCAGCAGATAAAAATTTGAACACTAACTGGAGATTTGTTGATACTAAGTATTTACACCTTTTAAATAGGAATTTTAAAAAGTTCTTTTAGAGCTACATGCCAGAGTATTTACAGATGGAATGACTAGGATTTGCTTCATTGTAATGTGGGCGTTCTCGTGTAGTGCTGTATGGTAAGTGCTGGACTTCTAACTGCAGGATTGGCAGTTCAAACCCACCAGCCACTCCTTGGAGACCCTATGTAGGGTTGCTAGGAGTCGGAACTAACTCCATGGCACTTAACAATAGCAACAACAGTGTGGGTTTAGTGTGTTGTTGTTAAGTGCTGTAGAGTCAGTTCTGTCTCATAGTGACCCTGAACAGGGTTCCCAAGGAGCAGCAGGTGCGTTTTAACTGCTGACCTTGTAGTTCAAGCTAGCCTTGTGATCCAGTGCTTATACTACATGCTACATCAGGACTTTGGGTTTGGTATAGATGCAACAAGATTGATCATCACTTGATAATTGCTAGAACTGGGCTCATTATATTATTCTCTCTACTTTGCTCTGTGTTGAGATTTTTCATAATAAAGAAATTACAGAAGAAAAATAGCCTAATCTTCTGCTTCAGTGGCATTCCCATCTCTTGAAATGACAAAAGTGTTTGTTTTAATAAAAATGCTTTATGATGTAGTTTAATGTCTATAGTTTTAGACTTGGCTCTATCACGGACAGACTAGATAAGTGACCTTAGACCTTAAATCAGTTACCCTTTTTGAGACCTCTTGTCTCCATAAAAAAATGAAGGGTTTTCACCTGGTCAGTGGTGTATATAAAACTCTAGGTCCAAGAGGATTCCTTGAAGGTGAGCTCAGAGGTCACTGTATAGACAGGATAGTCTACCATCCACTCCTAATATCAATAGAATCATCTCTGCAACAGTCCAGGAAGGAGTTCCTTGGTGAAAACAAGGTTGACAGTTGTGTAAGATTATGTCAAAGACTGCCTCTAGAACCTTGCCACGTTTTTATCTAAATCTCAAGGCATTATTCTGTGAATAGAGGTGTAAGTTTGAATATATAGTTATAATGATCCTTTGGCTGTTTCTTCTAATACACTGGGTTGTTGTTGTTGTTAAGTGCCGTCGAGTTGGTTCTAATCCATAGTGACCGTGAACAGGGTTTCCGAGGCTGTAAATCTTTACGGGAGCATAAAGCCTCATCTTTCTCCCATGGAGCAGCTGGTAGTTTTGAACTGCTGACCTTGCGGTTCGCAGCCTGATTCGTAACCACTATGCTACCAATTGACAAATTCCAACCTTTGATTTGCTGGCAGGCAAGTTTACAGACTAGCTAAAGGATGTGATTAATCTACAGATTGCATTGCACTTTTGAAATAAGCATCTTGACCATAAGATATTAAATTGTATAATTGCTTGCTGTCAAACAATTGCTTAACTTTTATGTAGTGATCTTTAAAGTAATATTCTTATTTTAGTTAAATCCAGTGGCGAGGGAAAAAAAGAAGAAAAAATTTGAATAAAAGGAAGAGAAAAATAAGTAGCTAACGTAGAGAAGCCAAAGCAAATGGAAAAATTGAAGAGGTGCAAGAGCTGAACAGGAAATTTCAAAGATCAGCTCGAGAAGATAAAGCCAAATACTATAA